GTTCTACATGTTCCCAATCTTACTTCCAATCTCTTATCTGTTTCGAAGCTAACCAAGATTTTAAACTGTAGTGTAACTTTCTTTCCTACTCATTGTGTCTTTCAGGACAGATTGACGAAGAGAACGATTGGGAGCGGTCATGAGTGTGGAGGTCTCTACTATTTTGATGCAGAAATAAGTTCGGCCTTACAATCATCTGCAACCAGTAGTCAAAATAATGAGGAGTCAATAGCTAGGTTACACTTGTGGCATGCTAGGCTAGGYCATTTACCTTTTTCATCATTGCAAGGGCTGTTTTCTGAATTATTTAAGGGTATTTCGAGTCAAAGTTTAGTTTGTGAAGTGTGTTAGTTGTCAAAACAATGTAGAACCCTTTATCAAATTTCTAGTAATGAAATTCAAGCTCCTTTTGATTTGGTCCATTATGATGTTTGGGGCCCTTCACCCCTTGTTTCTATGGATGGCTTTTGTTATTTTATCAGTTTTATTGATCACTATTCACGATGCACATGGATCTACTTGTTAAAAGGACGTGATGAAGTGCCACGGATAACCATGGAATTTTGTAAAATGATTGAGACTCAATTTGACAAGAAGATTAAGCAATTTCGTTCAGACAATGCTGCGGAATATTTTGAAAGGTCCTTGAACCTGTTCATGGAGGATGTTTGCATGATACATCAGTCTTCTTGTGCTAGTACCCCTCAACAGAATGGGGTTGCTGAGCGCAAAAATAGACACTTATTAGAAACCGCTCGAGCTTTATTATTTCACCACAAGGTGCCCAAGCAATACTAGTCTCAAGCTGTCCTTACCACATCATATTTGATAAATCAGATGCCATCCTAGGTGTTGGGTATGAAAACTCCTTTCTCTGTCCTTTGCCCTAATCTTCCAGATTTTCCTCTTCCACCTAGGGTCTTTGGTTGTGTGTGCTTTATACATGTTAAGGATCCGAAGAAGTCCAAGTTGGATCCTAGGGCTACGAAAGGGATCTTTCTAGGGTACTCTCCTACCCAAAAAGGTTACAAGTGTTATGATCCCATCACCAA